AGGCAAAAGGGTAAACCACTGTTAATGAAACAAAGTAGAACAGGGTTCTTAGGTCTGATAAGACCAAAGTTGAATTTGTTCTAATTGCGATGATACAAAACACCAATGAACCAGAAACAAATCACCCCTACCATGAACATCATGTTGTGGAAGGCACCAAAATACAGAGAAATTGTGTAGATCCTTCTGCTTTAATTGTATAACTGTCCCAAACACAAAGTCTAAGACACACTACGGCTTAAAAAAACAATGTCCTTGAGATTTTTAATTATGCAATACTACAAGTTAGGTTTGGCATACTTCTATGACTTGTTCTTAATTTTATAAAACTGTTTTATAAAACAAGTATCACCTCCTGCTTGACAAATGTTACAGCATGCCAGAGAGACTGAAATTAAGCATGAGGAAAAAGGAGAGCTCAGCAGAGTTTATCTTTATGTCTTAAGAGTTTTTGAAGCTGACCTAGCTATGCTTTTCACAATAAAGCCCATTAGTCTTAGTCTGCTTGATAAACATCCCTCTGGAATGGCAAAATTAGACTCTAGACCTCAATCTAGTTGAGAATTTGGAAACTGCTGTTGACTTAGTCACCACATAACTTGACATGACCTGAGCATTTTTGTAAAAAGGAATGGGGGAACACTGCTGTGTCAAGGTGTGATAGGCTGACATATACCTATCCACATAAACTCAAGACTGTAAATATTGCTGGAGGTACCTAGACAATACTTACACCGGTAACATGTAAAAAATAGGCGAGACACCAAAGCTCTAGATCACATGACGCAGCAGAGAGGCATAACCCATTAACATGGGTGCTGAACCCAAGACGTTCTGTTTATTAATATATAAAGTAGTATTAAAAGTAGTAAAGTAGTAATAGTATATTAATTCATATGTTAAATTGGTACTTAAATATTCATTTGTATAGATTTTTTGTGCAGACAACTGACCAGTTCCAAGGAGCAAAAATGTAGGTTTTCTAGCAAATCAAGATGTCAAGTGATTCTAAGCTTAGTGGCCCCTTTAATCCTCTGCCTCTTACTCACGTCACTACTGAATTAGCCACACTAGTGTTGTTGAGTGTGTAATCAGATGAAGACAGTTGGATGTTTGACCTTTGGCCTATAAATTGTCACTGTGACATGCTACTGTTAAACTCAGGAAAAGATATGGCCTATAGCTGGCCTCCTTTCTCTGTCAGTTTCTTCAAAAATTGATCTTCTGAAAGCTTTAAAATGACTGCTGCTGTTAAACGCACATAATTACTGCTGTTGTTTTTAAATTAGCGTCTTTGTTCTCTAGTCTTTTTAGTCATGGCTCATGTTCTTTCTCCTTACTTTGTATTTTCTTTACAGAGGATTGTTAGACATACTGAGGAACTATTTTCCTCAACTGTGTGACCACATGTAATTTTAGCAGTGTCTCAGCCTTTATTTGCTGCAATGTTTTGTTCAATCACTTTGAAAATGTTTTACTATAATGAACTTGTTTCAAATGTATTCTGCATTCCTGTCATTAGTAACTACTGTGAATTTGTATATCTCCAAAACCACTCCCTCTCCCGAGTGGTTACTGGAACAGTTTAAAAACACAATTATCCTACACACACTATGAATCATGATGTTTACAGGACAGACTGACTGGAAATGAACATGACACAATAACGTGTAAAAACACGTCAACAACAACAGGTTAAATAGGTGGGTCAGCTCCTCTGACTCATGTGAAGCAGCAATTTAAGTGTGACTAAAGTGGGTTTACAGTGCGTTCTATGACACAGCTGATAAAAAGGGATTCAAAGCAGATGCAGCTTACAGATAGCAACTGCAACAGTTACAAGTTGGCTCTGGTACATACAAATCAAGACAGCAACAAAGATTTTAAATGTCAGGATGAACTTTGTTGTTGATGTTTTTCTACAGACCCACATATTTGGGGGAGATAACACTGAATGAGTGTATACTCAGAACAGGCATCTTCCATTGGCTTAATGCGAGTCCAACTACATTGTAGGTCAGTTATCGGATGTATCACTGCAACGAAAAATTATTTTCATAACTTCTCTATTATCCACAACTATTCTACTTATTATTTTCTCAATTATTTGATTAATCATTTGGTCACAGATTTGTTAATGCACAATATATCATTTTCTGCCACAAGGGGTCTCTCAACCAAAACTATAACATGACAAGTAGGTCAGTGAGGTCATGAAGTAGTGTGGAATCATTCCAGTTGCCAATCACTGCAGTCAGTTTCTCCCAGTTATAATTCATTCAGTGTCAATGGAAAGTTTTCGCCACGAGCCGGAATTTCTGAAAAGGTCTCCTGGTGATTAAATCTGTTAAGAACTCTGAATAGTTAGTAATTTCACGTTAAAAATAAGTGTTTCTCTGACACTGTTCTGCAGACACAGGAAGTGTTTACTTACTTTGTTTCTCTGGTAAGGTCTAAACATCCAATGATTGTGAAATGAAAATTTTGACTGTGTCAAAACAAGGGGATATGATGTCATTGGCAGGTGACCAAATGAAACGGACCGATACATTGATTAAAATTAAAGATTTCTCTGTGTTTGATAATTGATGGAATCATTTGGGATAATGTAAGTGCACAATGCAAAAAAAATCTATAACATAGGTCTAGTCGTGTTAGACATTTTAATGTGGGAAAGTTACATGTTATACCTTTAAAAGATGCTTATCACAGTTTTCTGAAGCACATGGGTTGTATTCAAAGTGCTTATTTTGATTGGCCAACAGCCAACAAAGCCCAAAGATATTCAATTCAGTAGGGCTGCAACGATTTTATTTTCATTATCAACTGATCTGTCGATTATTTACTCGATGAATGCATTTGTCTGCAAAATATCAAAAAAGAAAAGAAAAATGTTTTGTCACATGCAACAAATCCTCAGATTTGATAAGATGAAGTCAGCATATTTGTTCCTTGACAAAAATTACCAAAATGATTAATTACCATAATAGTTGTTGATTATTTTTTGATGTTGAACTATTGTCATTATTTATTAATCTGCTGGTTATTTGATGAACGTCCCAAGCCAAAGACATTCAACTTACTATTACGGAATGAAGAAAAGCAGCAAATATTCATAATTGGGTAGATTGAACTAGGCATTATCATTTAATTATTGCTTCTGTTACTTGCAAATGCTTGATTATCAAAATGGGTGATGATCAACTAATCACTTCAGCTGGTCACAAAACATAACACGTGAAAAATGATTCGAACAGATCAACTGATAATCACAAAAGCTTCACAAATTTTCTGTGCTAAAGATAATTTAAGAACAGGTAACCATAGCAACAACACTTGAGTTCCACACTACGTACTAGTGAACTGGCACGAACCACAGGCGAATCCGGCTACACACGATATATTTACCATTAAATAATATTAGAATAAACACAGGGGGGGGGGTTAGCTAGCTGCTTCGTCTCCAAACAGACCACCACCAGTAGCCTATATGTGGTTGTAGGACATCGTCGAGCAAGCTTCAGAGAAAGTTTAGCTATTTGTGTGTACATTACGTTAACTGACATTGACTCCTCGCTGGACTTCTCGTTGTTTATTCTGATGTTGCTAAATTAGCTAATCATTACAGATTGTGGTATTACCTACCTGGTTAGATTTTCTATCTCTGCGGGTATGTTTTTCAGTCTGTTTCCGCCGAGTGAAAGCGACTGCAGACGCAGCAGTTTCATACACTGAAGTGGGATCTCCTCGAATCGGTTCCCACTAAAGTTCAGCACCTCCAGCTGCAGAGAGCCGAACTCCTTGGGCAGAGAAAACTCGTCCAGACGGTTGTTCTTGGCTAATAGTGTTTTCAGCCTGGTCAGCCGCGTAATGCCCTCACAGATGGCCGTCAGTCCGTTGTTGCTTATGTCCAAAAACTCGAGGTTGCAGAAAACGCTGACCGACGAGGGCAGCGAGGCTAGTCGGTTGTAATTCAAGTACAGCTGCTTGGTGTCCCTCTTCCTCTCGTCGCTGATACTGTCAGCGTTAAAAGTGTTTAAACTCAAACGTGAAAAATCAAGGACGCCGTCGCCTGCTGCCGCTGCTCCTTCGTGAATCTCCATTTTAGCAATTTTAGCGTGAATTTAAACTCGGAACAAAGTCCTTACAGAAGTTTTGCTGTAGGCTGAACGCCCCCGTACCGTGAGTTAGCTCCAGGACTTGTCGTCTATTTTCAACGTGGAGAACGAATTTACTTCTATGCACTCGCCCGAAACATTTAACCGCATCTCTAGTGAAAATCTAGGTCACTAAATTAGTTCTGAGGACAAGCTACAGTTGCTACACGAAACTACATTGAATGTAGTGCAGCTATCCCTCAATGTAGCCGTCCTTTGAGGGGAATATTTGCTTCCATGTTTAGAGATTGGCTAATTCTTGCGATAAACCCCGCCCACCCAGCCATTGATTGGTTACTCTCCCAATCTGTCATAATATAAAACTAATTAAGAGATTTGTAACAGGTTTATTGCACAGTTTATTTACATTTTATAGCCACACACTACCAAGTTGTTGGGTGAAGTTGCGACGATTACGTTTTTTAAGTATTGCAAAAACGGGGGAATGATGGCCAATGATCCATAATGCCGGCTGCCCAGTTCCATATGGCATTATGCAACTCCCCTCTTCTGTTACATTATGCAATGCTCTGCTCTGCTAACTTCGATGTGCACAGAATGAGAAAGAGGTACAGGATAATTGGGTTCCTCCCACTGTATTCAGACCTATTCATAATACTGGACAGCTCTGTTTTGTTCATGTTACTTTAGGAGTAGAGCAAATTACAGTGTGTGCACTGTACCGTTTCCAGGAACCTAATGTGTTGATTGAGATATTGAAATCAAACCATGACATGTACTCATAACACAACATGTGACTGATAAATCAACTAAATAGTTTATGGAGAGAGATTTGACCAACCTGGACCAGCTAAATCACTAACACAAACAAAGTGAGAAAGCTGTGTTGTGGTGTATGGGCTTTATTGGCATACATACATGTTCCTTACAGTCTCTGCACTCTTAGTGGAATATAAAGGTTTAGCTTGAAACCTAGTAATGCAACTTTCACACAGCCATTTATCAGGGAATAGAGTCACAAAGCACTAGTTTACTGCTAAACTTCAGCAAAGCGCACTCATTCTCACTATGCCTTGTGGCATAATAGCCTTTGTGCAGGCAAAGGTACTGTTTGCAGGTCTAAGGCACTGATTTTTATTGTCAAATCTCCCAATTTAGATACAGGATTTTAACAAATAAACACATTTAACAAACCAAACTACTCTCAGCATCACACTTTAACAGCACACACACAATCATGCACACACACACACACATACACACACACACACACACACACACACACACACACAGACAAGCGCTTTATATGCACCCAGTTATTGATGCGTCTAAGCTACTATAGTTGACAGTGAGGCTAGTCCTGCTGTTAGAGTGATTTTGAAAGCACAGGTATAGTGTTGTTGCTGGGTCCAGAGTAATGTTTTACCTGGAGAATTTTGTACATCATTCAAACACATCATCAAGACTTTGGTTTCAGATTTCACCATGCTATATTCAGATCAGGTCTCACCTGGGGGCAGTTGTGCTGCTTCACCCTGAAAGCTGGACCACTATGTTTTTGTTTCAGAAAGGTACGACACATATAGAAAAATGTTTAACCCGAAAAGCGCCAGAGAGACTTGCCCGAGCATAACATGGGAACAAGATGAGTTCCACCTCAAGCCAATAACATACTGTACATAGAAGCAAACGCTTTTGCAGAAAGAATGATTACTTTAGCACTAAGATACAAACAAATTCCAGGCTTGTGATAAACTAAAGCCGAGGAAAGCTACAGAGAAAGAAAGAGAAGTGCATTGGTCAAGTAGTGGCCTACTGTAGCAGTTAAAATGGCACCAAATTCAAAATCACTAATAGCTTTACCCTCTTATCCCAGTTTCTTCAACCACCCCCCTGACCATAAAACCTTTGAGGGTGTTGAGAAACATACTGCACCAGGTGACAAGTGGTCAGCTTTCTCCGTACTCCAGCAGCTCCCTCCTTTCAACAGGTGGATTTTCCAGATTCCTAACCTCACTACCTTCTCAAACAGTGACTTCCACATTCCAAAACAGTGACAACTTGACACATTGTTTAAGAATAACTGTAAAAATATAAGGATTGTAGTAAAAATAGCCCCAGGGCTAGTGTAGGGGCACAGTAATACAATCAAACATGACAGTACTGAACACAAGGGAATCCTATAATACTCTTTGATAGCCCCTGAATCTAACAAACATCAACACAAACACTTAAACAATATAAAAAATGTATAATAATTAACATAGCAGAGAAACATGAAAAAGTCAGTTTAACAACAACACACGGCCACAAGGGAAATCAAGTATGGAAGAAGGGTGATGGCGTGCATCCTCTTCTTCATTGTGTCCTTATTTAGGCCTCCTTTGTGCTGGCCTTCATCTTCTCGACTGTTTCCTGTGTTTAAAAAAAAATGACAAAACATGAGAAATTTGATCTAGTTTGTCATTTGACATACTGAATAAACAATGATGTGAGTACATGTTTGCATAAGCATGGCTACACATATCATTTGAATGCGCTATCCATCAAAAGCAACACTGTATTCTGAAGCAAGGTCCCCAGCCTGATCACACTAAACTTGTACCCACAGAGCTGCATTGTTTACAGTGGCATTATAAGCTGCCCTTCTGGAGGACAGAGTACATGACCTTGCTGACTCAGCCATGGCCTCAAGCCAGCGCCCTTGTGCTACCTTGTTAGCCTCATGCCCTCATACACACATATAAGCAAGCACAGACACAGACACAGACACACACACACTTCTCACACAGAATGTAGGTGTTCTAGAATTATTTTGATTTTATGGACAGGTTTCAGAACTCGGCTCTTGAGCTACATTCTGGTTCTAGAACTCCATTCTTGGTCTACAGAGATTCTAGAATGGAACTGAACATTTAAAGAGGTTGCACATCTTTATTCTATGTCTGGGGAGGTTCCAGACCTTCAGAAGAGGCTGTAGCAACTGTCCTGTTTTAGCTGTTGCTATAGCTATTGTTTGCCTGGAGAAACTATACAACTATTGTGTGAAAGCAGAGACTGCGGCATTGTGCCGACAGTCTGGAGAGGTTCTAGGACTGCAGTGACTGTCTTGCGTGTCCCTCCACTGCATCACAAAGAGAAATTTATACTGTCCCAGCTCAAGCACTAGTCTCCAGTACCATCCACCTTTCATTTCAACACTGCCCATCAGTCTGGTAGATTTCAGATTTTTTAAAGTATTTTGTAGAATTTATGTGAATGACTCATAATTACTAAAATGCTTATTTCAAGTACTCCTCTTTACTGTTTTGGTCATTTCTTTTGTTTGGCATTTTTTGGGCATTTTGTCTTTCTATCATGGCTTTACCTCATAACAGGCTACGTAATTAATAATACTTCGCTAATTTAACAGTGCGCTCCTATAACAATAAATATCAAAATGAATGCAGCAGAACCAGATATATATATATTTTTTATGTAATGCATCCTTCTTCCCTGTCAAAACCTGACTCCTACATTATCCACAGTGCAACCACCAGCAGTTCAGTCATGGATTCAGGTGTGTTATGCAAGTAGCGGCTAATGTAGGCTACGCTGGACACATCCTGCTAACCTTAAATAGAGACGAGAAGCTACAGAGGTCTAGTAAGCTCCCTTTTTCCTAACTGCACACTCTCAGATTTATCTTTCTCATTTGTAGTCTTCAGCATCAAAAGACAAATGAAATCACTTGAGGCGATTCATCAGAAAAGGCTTCATATAACATTTTTCATACGTGCAATAATACTCCACATGACCCATAAACAGACTTTGATGTGTACAATTTGTGTGGGTTACTTGATATTCGCTCTTAGGAATAACCTGTATAACCTGATTAAACCCTTCTACAAAACCCTGTATAATAAAAAGGAAAATGTTGTTGCTCATTTGGCTCTTTTTTTTTAACGCCATTCTATTGCATATCCATTTCATAGTTTTATAGAATTAATTTAGAAAACACTTCTTTAGTTCACAGCTTTTGATTTGTTGTTTCACTTTTCATGCCAGGAGCCATAAAGCTGGTGATATTCTGGCTCACTGAGCTGTGGTAAACAGTCACATAAAAATGTACACTTAGCAGTTCCTCTGTGAATTGTATTGTGATGGTTGAGCAGTTTGGTTCAAATGCTCTTTGTCCAGAAACACATTGCGAGAAAGCAAGGTTATATCCTTCCGGAATCTAAAAGGGGACACATGGGTCATGGCTCCTGTCAGTGATATTTTATGGACCTTATAACCAAGTGGAATCCTATGAGCAGTGGGCAGTGATGGAGCCTGTGACTATGGCCAGGTCATCTGTAGGGAAATTCTCGGAAGCATTTCTGATTTATTTTTGATATTAATATGATTTATTACATATGTTTTTTTTTAATTTCTGGATTGCAAAGACAGACCTGGTGCTTGTTGAGCTCAGCCACACGGAGGTTCCACTCCTCCTCAGTCATCTCTGCCCCAGCATCTGCTGACTCATCCACAGCCGCCATTTTGTCTGGACAGAAAACAAAATAAGACAAAAAATGGCCATGGGGTATTTGTCTTACTGTGTGAGTTGATTAAAATATAAATAAAGAGGTATAAAGATGATCTCTAGTATCTTATCTTACCAGTGCAGGTCATCGCAGTGCAGACCCAGTTGCCACATGCACAAACACAGCGATTACACTCCACCTGGGTCTCTGCTCCGTCCTCATATGTCTCATCCTCCAAGGCACATTCTGCAGAAGCACAAAACAAACTACTCAACCAAGATAACAGACAACAGACTGTAGAATAATAAGAGTAACAGTGTTATTGATATCAGTTTCCATGACTAGACAGCATTTCAAACTGCCACATCATTTATCCAGTATCTTCCTTTTAAAGTAACATGCCTTGCTTGTTGACTAGTATTGGCTTGCTAATGGAAAGTCAACAAATCTGCCAACTCTCCTGTTAAGCATATGTGTTGGAGAAACCATTAAAAAAAAAAAAATCAGGACTTTTCCAAAACATTTAATATAACTATCATTCTCTTCAAATCTCCAGACTTGAAAAACATGATTTCTGTGAAACAAAGTACGGAACCCTGCAAATGCACTGAACCCAGAGTTTCAAAAAAAATCCCCAGTAGGTCAGCCAAATGTTTGTGTGCACGTGTGTGTGTGTGTCCTTGAGTCTAGTGAAAGCTCCAGGGTGCAGTGCTCCATGGTGAATATCAGTTTTCTCTGAGATGGAGCAATGCCCCTGTATTCTGTGAACTTTATCACAGATATGTCGGCATCAGATGACTGAACAGACTGAAGTGACGACCACAAAACTGAGACTCTGTCTCAGACTATTCAGACAAACTGAGGCTTATACTGACGGTTCACTGAATGCCAGTACTGCCCAACTGGGTTTATGTCAGTGCATCCATATACTATATGTACTGAAGTGTGACTTTATGTTGCATTATGAAAAAGTATGCAAAATATCCATTTAAGCTCACTCTTCTCTGGTGGATTGAAGCCAGGTTTCAGGCAGTTGAGGAACTCATCAAAGCTCAGTTTCCAGTCAGCATTCTCATCAGAGAGCTCAATGAGGGCATCAACACACAGGCTCCTGGGAAGCACACAAACACACACGCACACACACACACGCAAAGACAGAATAAATATCAGCTGCTTCGTATAGTGAGAACAAAACATTACAGAAATAAATAAGCACACTCTAGAAATGATCTTTCATTTAGAGTGCTCCATTTTACAGAGAACAGGTGTTTATGCCTACGTTGGCTTCCCAAAGGAGGCCTTCAGTAAAGTTTGCACTGGCCCAGATAGGGTTCAGTGACTTACACTGTGTACCTTAAAATAGCACTGCAGGACACAGATAAGGGTCTGTATGTACAAACACAACCACCGAATAGAATGTTCACATAGTTTGAGGGGAAGTGAAATACTGACAAAAAAAGGCAAACAATAGCAGTTTTTTCTTCATCCTGTGCTCGTGAACTCTCACATAAGCATGCAAACCCACAAACAAACACACCAACCTGAGCAGCTTGTTGCTCTCCTGGTCTGCGTAGGACTGCAACTCCACAACCGAGTCATTGTGCTGGATGAACTTGAGGAGCTCTGAGGAGTCCAGCTGAGAGTCACCATTGTCATAAGACTGCAGAAACATGGACAGACATGGGAGGGGTACAGTTAACGTTTATGTACGGTCGAGTATGAACTTTTAGACTGCCTCATGCAAACATATAATCGGGGGGGTCACAGTATTTTTTTTTTTTTATCAGTTTGTGTCATAAGCATGTGTGCACTGCAAATATTTCTGTTTCTTATAGGCAGGCAGGTCAGTCCAGGTTGCCAGTAAATTTGCAGTGACTTCCACAAACATTTGTAAGAGCACACCAGTTGCCATGACAATCGCCCCTGTATCCCTGATGTTAAGTGATTTCAATTTGGCATGAACACCTCAAGTACCGGCTCTTATTACAGCCTGTATTGGTTTTGTAATATTCTAAAATCTGGCTGGAGCAGAAATAGGTGTAGGACTATGTGAAAAATTCAATTCATATAGTCATTTTTCATCTTTATATGAAGGCCCATATGGATAAATAAATCGGGGTATTTGGTAAAAAAGAATGGTGCAGGGGCAATGGTGTGCACTAATTAAGACCAGGGTCCATTGTGTGTTTCTGCACCCCAACAGAGGAAAGCAGCCCACCTTGAAGTATTTGAGCAGGATGTCAGAGAAGTTGGATCCTTTGACAAACCAGCCATCCGGGACGACCTCAGTCTGCAGCCACTGGATCACACGGCTCCTCAGCTCATTACGGTCAGCAGCATAGCATACCACTTCGGGGGTGGGAACATTTCCATAGGTCAACAGAATTAATGAATAATCCAATGGAAATCTATCTTGCAAGGTATTTCAGCACTGACCCCTGTCCTTCTGTGCATACGTCATTATTACTATGTTGATTGCGTTCTTTCCATTACATCATAAATTATAGTCGTTGCAGTGCCAAATCTTTATACCCAAGAACTAGATTTAACCCATCTGTGAGCCACAACTTAAATCCAAAAATAACCCTGAATTTACCTGCTTAAAATGAACAATTTGATCATTTGGAGTTTTTTCTTATCTTATTTCTTTTTCTTATCTTATCTGTAAACATTTTAAGTCCTCAGAATATAGTTTCATATATACATGTCATATATGCATGCACATGTGCACACACACACACACACACACACACAAACTCACCTGGGCTGGCAGCTGCCTGCTCTGTTTTCTTCTCTAAAGGTGATTTTAAAAAAAAAAGAGGGAAAGATTACAACATTTGGCCCAAATCAATTGAACAGTGTTGACTTGATTCAGATTAATGGAGCTAAACTCAGCTGTGTCGGCACACTTGGCCAAAGGTCTGTAAAGATGACAGTGTGAGATAACTATTCTCCTTGACTACCTTTTCTGCCGCAGTTCTGATCAGTGTTCAGGCCAGCGGGGACACAAAGACTGCAACATCGCCGAGTATGAGCAATTAAAGTTCAGTCGAGATAAGAGATTAATAGTAGATGTATTAATAGATAAGTCGAGGCCAGGAGTATGAATGTAATGGCAGATTGGTTCAGTGCAGTGACATGTGAGTGTCCTTATATAGCCGCCTATCAACCCAGTCACCTCACATATCAGTTCCATGAATATGGTCTAGTTCAGATATCACTTCAATTTACTATACACAGTTATCAGCACTTGCAGCATTTCTTAGGTGTGCCAAATGCCATCCTACTCAAAGGGGGAGCTAAACTGGCTCTTTGTCTCTCTACCTCACACCTTTTACAAATCAGAGTTTAGCGTGAATTTGAGATTCTCAGTGTAATTCTTATAATGATTGTGTTATGGCTCAGGGCCAGTAGAGAGTCGAAATTAGAAAGATACTGGGATAATACTCACACTTGAGAGCTTTGCTGTCCATATTTGGCAATTGCTGAAATAACCAAGCAATAACAAAGGTAGACTAAAATATCTTCCATCCTGCACTTGACAACTGACACCCCATAACAAAACGCTTAGGAATAGGTATGCACTGATCTGATACTTTGGTATTGATGTCACTACTGACCTTATTGACCTATGATCAATCTACTGTAAATATAGTTTCCTGGTCAATGACATTAAAAGATTCATTACTTCCACTGCCAGAAACATTAATTTCATTCATTGCAGGCCCACAACTCAGTTTCTAGTTTCTAGTTTCATGCTACCTTACCTAAAAATGATTCCATTGAATTAAAGTCAAGTCAATTTGATTTATATAGCACCAAATCATGACAGATAGAGCAGGTCTAGAGACCGTATTTTTTACTAATAATAGTTAATAATAGTTTTCTATGCAGTATTTTGAATTTGGAAAAAAAGAGAACGTTGGTAATTGGTCAGTGCTCAGTTTCGGCACATACCCTGGGCTGAGGTATCAGAAGAGAAAAACTTAGATTGCTCTGTCCTTAATTAGCAACACCCACATAAGCCAACCAGTTGTCAGTTGTGTCTTTGTATGGCTGTCACACTGAATCGCACAATTTCAGTAACGACTCAGAATCAGACTATAGAAGACATAACAAGACAGAACAGGGCCTCCTCCTGCCAAAGGTGGATAAAATGAACAGCATACACCGTGCCATTTTTAAAATATCCATGTGAAATTGTGGGTGTATACTTTCTAGAGGAGGCCTGCTAGTCTTGCACACTGTTCAGATTTGGCACCTCTTCTAGGCAAAGTACCCATTTCTATCAGACCACTTCATTGCCCTTGATAAGAGCATCTTTTCAATTATCAATGATAACATTATTATGATCTTAACCACACTTGAAGGTGTAATTTACTGGGATTGTAAAAGTGACCTTGGAAACAACATCTTATCATTTTATTACCTACATATAAGATAACAAAGCGTTTAATCTTCGCAAAGTTTAAAAGTGACACTAGTGGACATTGTGTTGGGAGAGTTTTGTTAACAAGTTTTATCTTGTGTTGTGGTGCTGTGTGCTGATGCTGGTACCCTTGCAGTGTCCATCATGGGCCACCTGGATCTTCAAGCCAGTCAGACAGGCATCTCTGTGGAGCTCACAGTGATTCCTGTAGGTCTTACCGTTGCTGCCACACACTGACCTCTTGTGGGGCTTACAGCTCTGGACAGAGGGAGAAAAAGAGAGTTGGGGGAGAATGGAGTGAAAATAGAGGAAAATTCAATCTCAAAAGTGTTTTTAATTTTCTTTTATCCTTATCGTCCCCTATAACCTATGCCGCCCTTCTCATATGGTCAAATAACTCAGCTAAAGTCAAGGTAGGATTACCGAGTGAATGAGGCAGACAAAGTTCCCCAGCAGGTTCACTATGGTCACTGCTGAGCTGCAGGGCCATGCACCTCGTACTCACCTCTATACACAGACAGCTGGGCTCCCCCTTCTCAGTGACGGCACACTCTCTGCCGGCCCCACAGAACACATTGGCGCACACTTTGCTCTTGCTCTGCAGCTCCTGAAAGAAAATAATACACATTGTTGCTGCTTTAGAAATGCAGTTGGGTTCCCTGATTTCACACACAGGGCGGCACTGTTGCACTAATAACAGGCCCATTTGAACGCACTCTGATGGTGCGTTCAGATGGTGCAAAATGTTGCTTTTATCCCGCCCCCTTCCTTTTTTTTTTTTGAAAGACACCAATAAATTTTTATCTAACCTTCATCCCTGCAGGTGGCGCTACACCATGAATTTCCACAAGCAACAGGATCCATTTAAATGGCCTTAATTTTGTGGTGATAGATGATGACACTCGCAATTTTTGCATATTTCACCCTTACACAAATAGAAGAGGGAGAATTCAAGTACTCTCCAAAAAATATGACTGCAGTTTCTTAGTCAGTGGGATTGTCTATCTCTACCACTGAGTGTATCTGACACTTTCTTTTAAAATCCAAACACATCCATAATTACAACAACTAATCTAGAAGATCGTGCTCTCTAAAGCCTTCCTAGCTATAGCCTTATCCCTGCTCTTTAATACCTGGTTCATGTTATAGTGTCTGCACTTCTATTGAGGTCTCTGGAGACTCATTTATGTTTGCCAGTAGTTGCCATGTCAACGACGACTGGCCTCAGCTTCAGAAGTGACAGCTGACCATACTCCACTTTGAAAAGAATTGAAATAGTGGAGCCGATGTCTTTTCATTTCAACAAGACAATGCAGTAGATTGAAAAACTTGAAGGATAAAAACAGTATTCTCTGTGTATAACAGGACCTTTCTAAATTGCATCTTACATCTTAAAAATCCTCATTCCTTTCTTTCAGTGTCTCTTGTGTTTCTCTCTGACTTTTTTTTTTTCACTTCATTTAATCGGTCTCATTTTCTCTTGTTTACATTTCTATGCCTGTGCTTCTTTATCTTTCCTTTGTTTGTTGTGGATGATCAACAGTGGACCTGCCAAAAAAATGAGTCCACTAGAGCTGCAAACCAACCAATCACCAGACGCCAAGCGGAGCACCAAGAGCTGTTTTATGACCCTCATTGCCTCCTCCTTTTCCTATCTGTGTGTCTTTGTATATGTGTGGGTTTGTTTGTGTGTATTTGAGCTTGCGTGTGTGTACAGGGTGTTTCCACATCTGGAGTCTGAGCTGTGTTTTCCTTTGGGTCCATTCCCATGCTCTGTGAAATTTTTTCTCCTCCCTGTTTCTCCAGACTCCCCTCCTCCTCCCTAAGTCACTGTTTCCTGTAAGCGCGAGACAGAAAGTTGGCCTTCTGTGTACGACTGCACGTGAGTTGGCTTCCGGGCTTCTGCCCGTGTGTGTGTGTGTGTGTGTGTGTGTGTGTGTGTGTGTGTGTGTGTGTGTGTGTTTGCGAGCGCCGGGTCTGGTATGTAGGTTAAAACGAAGGTGGATGCTCGTGACTCGTGACTGGACTCTTATAAGCTCACTAATGATAGAGTATAACAAGATGTATTGGTAGTAGGGGGTGGGGGAGGGGTGGGCACTCATATGCAAGCATCGCAGTGTAGCAGCTTTAACTTCAAACTGGTGAGAGGAGAGGGATGGTAGGTTTCAGTTCATTTCTATGCATGAGTTAAAGACACACACGCACACACTTGCAAAGTTGAGGTCATCGAAAATCTTCAAAGCAATCCCTATGGCCTTGGGCATGTTGGACAATTCAGTTTGTTAGACACACATGGACTAGAGGCCGGCTGAAACCTGTAGAAACCTCCAATGAGAACATGAATAATGGATGGGTTCCTTACATGAATCTGGGATAATTTAAGAGATCTGTCTGTCCATCTCTCTTTGACTAGAACCAGCAGAGGATCCCTGACATTTAGCTAATGAATACAGAGGCACAAGCCCACCCACCCCCCCCCTCCCTTTTTTTTCTTCTTCTGATTCAAGTGGATTGTTGCTATGGTGAGAGCATGTACAGGCTCCTGTTGTGGCAAGATCACAGATGTGCCAATCAACTTAGGCGAACCAAAGAACCAAGTCCCATAATGAGATCACAGCAGAATGTGTTGTTCAGATTTTATGACTGACACAGCAATACAATCCAAAACTGTAAAAAAACAATGGACAATGGATGTGATGTCACCCAACCAACCCTCAAGAAGGCAGAGACATGAAGCTAAATATTGCAGCAGTAGCCCATCCACCTTATGTGGCCATAAATCATGTCTGTGTTTAGCCTGGAGCCTTCATTGTTACTATGAGCGTGAGTGGGCAGACATGCACCATTACATGCACCATCACTGAGAATATTTATATGGTTTTTAATTCATAATCATAATTCAGAACACGGTGTGTATGTGCAATACAGAGGAAACTTGTTATTCATGTGAATGTAACATCATCCAGGTTTTCCATCATGTGTATCTGTACCTCACTCTGCTGGGTTTGACTTTTCAACGGTGTAAGATGAGAACAAAAAGCAATAAAATGTAAGCTTAAAGGATCTGTTTGACATTTTGAGAGGCTTTCTTTGTGAGACTTAGATGACAAAATCAATACTATTCTCAGATCTGTATGCTAAACAGGAAGCTGGAGCCAGCAGCAGGCTAGCTTAGTTTAGCATAAAGACTCATTTCGGAAACTAACCAGAACTGTCCGGAAGCCTCGCCATTACTGAAAAAGTGGTGCGTGTAAACACACTCATTAATCATCAATCACCAACAGTGCAGACATGAGGAAAAAAATGTGCAAACTCAGCACAAACAAAAACAAACACACCCGCTGTGGGTGTCCTACTTAAATGGCATCAGTTTCTCATTGCAGCCAACAAATGCTGCCTCATTTTCCCCCTCCCATTTAAAACCAATCACTGAAGCCAGAGTTCTGATAAGTGACTGGTGAATCCTAACAGATTAAACAGGGACTTTCATAGAAAAAGCTGCCCCAAGCACTGATTGCATATATACACATTTCACAGCTCATTTTCCTCGACTCCTGCCCTCCCCATTTTTTTCAGTTTCAATCAATTTTTGCCAGGAGTTTAAAATTATTCAAAGATTTAAAGATTTATTTATTCTCTCTATCTCTGGTGCCTCAAACGTCAAGTCTGGTGTCCTTTCATTTCTGCTATGCCGTAATTCTCTCTGTCTTGTCATCTTATTCCCAGGGCCATGCCCTTTTACGGCTGCAAGAGATGTGCCAGTGAACCGAGACCAACCTTGCAGAGCTAGGTGGAAGTCGAGATGAGCAGTGAGGAGGCAGAATAAGAGGAGGAAGCCTTGAAGAAAGACTGATTATTACTGTAAGTGAGAAACAGGTAGATGGCGAAGATACGAGAGGAGAGAAGGGGTGTGTGTGTGTGTGTGTGTGTGTGTGTGTGTGTGTGTGTGCGCTGAAGTCACTTTCTCCCCTGCCACATGTTGAATGGCTCTGTGCTGAGGCAGAGTAGAATTAAACGGGAACGTATTATTGCTTCGGTTAAAAAGAAAAAGAAGTAAAAAAGTAAAAAGTGTCTTTAATTTTCCACTGCTGATGAGGACATACACAGTCTTACAGCAGTAAGGCTGAAGAACACACACACACACACACACACACACTACAGTAACACATAATAAAAAACACATTAGAACGCCTATCTGAATGTCTTTCGACATCTCTGTGCCCTTACTCACTCACACACACACACACTTGCAAAACAGTATGCGTAATGGAGCCTGTCTGCTTACATGTGCATGTTTTGTGTCCTGTGCATGTGTGTTTGTGTGTGTGAGTCCATCTTGGAGACGCTCCATTGATCTAGCAGACCAATCGATGCTTCTCTTTGCTGTGCGTGTCACTTTATAGCCATTCCCACAATGCATTCTGCCCATCATTAGCATAGAAAACATTGATTGGAAGTCGCTTAAGTGCATTGAAACACTGAATTTAACCTTTCTGTTAATGAGTTATAAAGCAATATGAATTTCTGTAGCCATCACGATCATTTTAATCAGCTTGATGAGCTTCTCTGGCATAACGAGCGTCATTTCATGCAATCCAATACAAGAACCCTGCAGCAAATCCTTTTCATATTGAGCTTTTCTTTAGTCCGTGTTAGAGAGGTGTTGATTCAGCATTGTGCTGTGCATTGTAGAGGCTGTACTTTCCGGTGTTGCTGTATTTTGCTGCATTAGAAAAAAGTGAAAGGTGTTTCAGGGTGTGTTGCATCAACATCTCTCTGACACAATGTGTCTCTCAATGAATGTGAGAAGTTTCATAAAGTCAGTATTTATAGTTTGTTGTGTGGGGTTTATTAGATATGTCTTGCACCTCGCTGTAGAAGATACAAACATATTTTTTTCTTCCCCCTAAGGTACAGTAAGTATGGTGTGTGTTTTCATGAATAAAATATTGTGATATTTGACAAGTTGAAATATTATAACATATCCCAGGAGGGTGTAGGGAGATGGAAGTAATGATGTTTCCATTCATTCTAGTCGCTCGTATACATTTACAATTTGTGCCACCCAAGAAAAAAAGGATCTGAATTCTATTCTCAAAGCTGCATCTCTCTCAGATTTGTCACAGCAAAAAGACAATAAATCTGAATAAAACAATGACAATTTGAATGAAAGCAGTTAATTGTGTTTTAATCTGTTATGACTGGAAAGATACTGCCAAATAATGACTGTTGACTTGAGAAAAACAAAAAACACAAATGATTATGAGAGTTGAAAAACTTAATTTGGCAGCTAACCCCGCAAAAACTCATAGTTATTCATCAAAGAAATTATATTTCAGAACTCATTAGGGAGTTATAACAATGATGCTGACATGAACAGATGAAGCAGCCAAGACGAGGCAGGCGTCAAAGCTCCCAGCTGCGACTTGAAAGCATCAATCCGTCTCCATTTAGATATTTTGCATTTATAATCAACTTGAAACTGAACCATAATACTCAACATTGGATCGCCTTTACAACTGCTGGGATACTATGTATATATTAAGTATTAAAGGGATAGTTTGACATTTTGTCTGTGCAAAATGCAAAGAGTTAAATGTGTTAGGA